TCTGATTCCTGATCCTCCACAGACGGGTTGGTCATTGGATCGCCAACTTGAAGAGGGAGGATTTATCTTAACTTCTGGCCAGAGAAAAAACCTGTAATATGTAGCCAACATTTGGAAGAAGAATGTTTTCAAGATGACTTGGATAATAGCGCGTTGTGACAAACACCAGATACAGCACTGGGACTTGATCAACAGCCGATACCGCACCGTGACGTCACAACCCAGTAGGTGGCAGTAGTGTTCTTTGACAAACATGGATGCCTCCAGTAAAGCATATAAAATGAATATTACTCTTAATTAAAAACAGTATGTTTCAGACTTCCGGGTATGACCGCAAGGTAGAAGGTCGCGTTCGACGCTGCTCCTGACAAAAATCCTGAAAATTCCCTTTTAAAAATCACTGAACGCTACAACCAAGGAAAATACATTATAGGGGGCGACTGGAACCGTGTTCTGGACCCCATTTTGGACAGGGCTTCAGGAGCTGACCAGACGCACAGCAGAAGCAGGGAAACGATATGCAATTTTATGAAAGAATTAAATTTACTAGATATCTGGAGACATTTAAAACCTACTGAAATAGTCTACTCATGCCATTCAAAAACATTTAGGACTTACTCCCGCATAGACTATTTTTTGATTTCAAAGGAATTACTCTCAAATATATCTGATTGTTGCTATGATAGCATACTAATATCGGATCACGCTCCCTGTAATTTACTATACAGTAATAATAGCCTGTTGAGAGACCCTCCCCGATGGTGCTTACACCAGAAATGGCTGAAAGATGAAAAATTTCTTAAATACGTTGGAGAAAAAATAGATGATTATTTCAGTATCAATACCACACTAACCTCAGCCTTTATAAAATGGGACGCTTTTAAGGCATGTCTGAGGGGTTACATAATTAGTTACACCGCCTCAAAATCTAAAGAACAACGTAAGAGCAGACAACAATTAGAATCCAAGATCAAATTACTAGAGCTACAAACTTTTAGAAATAGCAACGCAGAAATAGAAAAGGAATTGCTGTTATTAAAAGCACAATATGAAAAAGAATCTGCAGACAGAGCGGCCTCCAGTTTACTAAGATTAAATCAATCATTCTATGAACAAGGAGAAAAACAAGGGAAACTCTTGGCATGGCAAATAAAACAACTGGAAGTGCAAAAAAACATAACCTCTCTTCTTAATAGTAAAGGGGAAACTTTAGTAGACCCAATCAAGATAAATGAAGAGTTTAGACAATACTATGACAGGCTGTATGATTCTCAAGACACCTCAAATATACAGGAACATGACTCATTTCTAAATAAGCTAGATATTCCCTCAATAGATGAAGTGTATAGAGAACAATTGGAAGCTGAAATCACAAAAGAAGAGCTGGGTAAGGCTATTGACTACATGAAGGATGGGAAGAAAGCTGGGCCTGATGGGTTCACTATAGACTTTTATAAAAAATTTAAAAAACAATTAATAAGTCCTATCTTCGAGATGTTTCAGGAGGCATATCGCAATGGTGGTCTACCAAAATCTATGACAAGTGCTTTAATCTTTGTGCTACCCAAGCCTGGGAAACCCAGCAATAAATGTGAAAACATGAGGCCAATAAGTTTGCTTAATGCTGACCTAAAAATACTCTGTAAATTATTAGCAATACGCTTACAAAACTCACTTCCTTCAGTGATACACAGGGACCAAAATGGTTTTATTTTGGGACGGCAAGGCCTGCACAATGTGAGGAGGCTTCTAAACATTGTTCATGGCTTGGGTGTAAAATCAGGATCTGCACTTCTTTCTCTAGATGCTGAGAAAGCGTTCGACCGAGTCGAATGGGTCTATCTATTTAACATCTTAAATCGTTTTGGTTATGGAAATAATTTTAAAAAATTGATTCACTTATGATATTTAAACCCAACTGCAGAAATATTAACAAATAAGAATGTGTCTAAACCGATTGTTATCAAACGAGGTTGTCGTCAAGGTTGTCCTTTGTCCCCTTTGTTATTTACATTAGCATTGGAGCCTTTTGCTATAGCTGTAAGGTCCCATAAATCTATAGCTGGCATTACAATTAGACAAGTAGAACACAAACTTTCATTATATGCAGATGACATAATCCTGTTCATTTCAAACTTAAAACAGTCTATTCCAAATTTGCTTAATTTAATAGAGGAATTTGGTCATATTTCAGGGTATAATATAAATAAAGCTAAATCTTCATTACTATTTTTGGATGAAAAAGAAATGTCCCCGGTAATAAGTTCAGAGTTCAAGGTTGTTAGAGATTTTACTTATTTAGGAATACAAATATTTTCAAATCTAGATATGATTGTAAAGAAGAACTATGAGTGTTTAACAAAAGAAATCACTGAAAGTATTAATAGATGGATGCCCCTTCCCTTATCATTGATTGGCAGGATCAACACCTTCAAAATGAATATGCTTCCAAAAATACTGTATATTTTTCAGAATGTCCCCCTGCCGCCTCCTGCAAACTGGTTTGATGATTTTAGGAAGTTATTTGTTGGGTTTTTGTGGCAAAATAAACGGCCCAGGGTTAGATTGTCGCTCCTACACTTACCTCATAAGAAGGGAGGACTAGGGTGTCCGAATATGAGGTGGTATTACTGGGCAACCCAACTTAGGACTATTAGATATTACTTTAATGCCAGGGACGCCCCTCAGTGGACAGAAATGGAATCTGATTCTGTAAGTCCACCTTTGCCCTTATACATTTTTTCTGATTCGGTCTCAAGACTGTTGGGAAGAACAGTTAATCCTATTGTTAAAAACATGATCAAAATATGGTATGACGTAAAGAAATTCATAAAAGAACCAGTTATACTCTCACAGTTTACTCCTATATGGGGAAACCAAGATTTTACTCCTGGAAGAGCAGACTCTGTATTTAAGCAGTGGGCCTTAAAGGGAATAGATAAGATTCATGATTTGTATCAAGCAAATTTGACTTACATGATGTCTTTTGAGGAACTCAGGCAGAAATTTAATATAGATAAAAAATACTTCTTCAAATACCTTCAGCTCAGAAGCTACATTAGGACAAAAAACAAAGATTTGTCCAAGCCACCAAAGTCCCAGTTAGAGGAAATTGTTTGCAAGTATAGCACAAGTAAAGGTGCGATTTCAGAATACTATAACTTTATGGTTTTGAATTCATCAGAGGATTCAACACGGAAACTAGAAGCCTGGAAATTAGACCTGGGAATAAACCTGTCACTGGAAGATTGGCAGTCTGTCTGTGCAAAGGCTCAAAAGCAAACTGTTAACTCTCGCTTAAGGTTACTGCAATACAAATGGTTAATGTGAATCTATATTACACCAGTCAATTTAAATAGGTACAACCCTAATATACCAGATGTATGCACAAAATGTTTAGAAGAAAAGGGGACTTTGTTTCATTGTATTTGGAAATGTACGGAAATTCAAAACTTTTGGAAAGCCATAAGAAGAACTTTGGAACACCTTGTCTCTAAAGTTGTTGCACTTGATCCTGCTTTTCCAAATTTAGGTTTGTACCCTAAAAATACTTTGTTTACCAAAAGTGAACAATTGTTGATTGATATATGTCTACTACAGGCTAAAAGGCTGATAGCACTATCCTGGAAGAGAACAACAGGACCAGGTATCAACCAATGGATTAAGCAAATGCTGAAGACTTTACCTCTGGAACGCATAACGTATCTCCAGAAAGGGAAAAGCGATCTATTTGAAAACATTTGGAGACCCTTCCTGAATTTTGTTGAAGGAGTGGACATATCTCACAATGACGAAACCAGTTAGAGACAAGTTTAATGTCAAAACACAATGTGCAACAAGGGAGCCTCAACAGTGGACTATTTTCTCCTGTATACTTAAAGGAGTCTATGCAGATATGTATCTAAGAGGGTGTTCGTAGGTCCTGTTTACTGTACTGGTTATGTGGCAGGTGTATCTGTAAAAAAAAAAATACAATAAAATTTTTGTTGGAAAAAAAAAAAAAAACAGTATGTTTGAATTCTGATTATGAGCGGACTTCTTTAAGTTTATTTTCTGCATCTGGACCACCTTTGAACTGGTTCTGCTCAAAAACTAGTATTATCCTATAATAATAGCAGAATGCTTAAAGCACAGTTTGACATTTGGAAAAACTTAAAGGGTCCCATTAGTATTTTCTGCACCTTGTACAGAACTTAAAATAGTTTTAAATGCTGGTTTCTGGATTTTTGGGGGGAATCTCTACAATTCATTCCAGCAAACATAAAAGCAAAAGATGTGAAAAATGATCTTTAAAAGTCATGAAAACTTCCGGTAAACATCAGAGATGGCAAAAGTACTCACTTTCCGTACTTGAGTAAAAGTACAGATACTTGTGTTAAAAAATACTCTGGTAAAAGTGGAAGTACTGATTAAACTTCTTTACTCAAGTAAAAGTAACAAAGTACAGGCTTGTAAATTTACTTAAAGTATAAAAGTAAAAGTAGAAACCACTTTTTTCATGCCGTTGCCTACATTTTAAATGGATGTCTGCCAATAGGACTAGATCTCCGTTGTGTTCATTTTCAATCATCTCGTCGTCCATGCTACTATGCTAACGCCACCGCCACCAAGCTGCAATGATTTGCCGTGAATGAATACCGCCGAATCTGTCGATTCATTTTGTAGTGGTGCGTCAAATGCAACGTAGATTCCCATCCAATTAGATTGAATATGGTATTGATGACGTGAAAAATAATAACGGTAACTCCATTGAAATTATTCAAAACTAAAGTAACGAGCCGATTTTTTAAAATGTAAGGAGTAGAAAGTACAGATATTTGTGTAAAAATGTAAGGAGTAGAAGTAAAAAGTCGCCATAAAAATAAGTAGTAAAGTAAAGTAAAAATATCAGAAAAATCTACTTGAGTATAGTAACAAAGTATTTGTACTTCATTACTTCCCATCTCTGGTAAACAAACCGTAAACGTTGATCCGAGCCACACATCACAACCAGCAGACCGTTTGAATCTGAATATTGCTTTTATTTAAATACAATAAAATTTGCAAAGTAACAAAACTATTGGCATATGAAATTCAAACACCATTTAAAACGAACAAAACATGGCTCACTTCATTTTTTTTTTCTCGCGACCAGTGTCGGCAAACACTAGCTTTTATTTTCAACTCGCTGCTCACCCCTACCCCACCCCACCCCCTCACCATGGCCTGCCTGCTCCCCCCTCCATTTACACTGTTCAGACTATCTTACAATAAAGAGTGCTGAATAAAAATGAGGTAAGAAAGTGGTTTGAAGGTTACAGATCATGCAGAACATGCTGAACAGCAACAAAACTATTTCTGTGAAGGAGGAAGTAACAAAACTTAAAGAGGAAAAGAATGGATTCACACAGCTTTTAATCTTTGGTTGACGTACGTTGAAGTATGATGGATGATTTCACAGCTTTTTCTCCCTCCGTTGCCCCACCCCCTACAGGTAATCCAGAGTTGGGGGGAGGGGGCAGTAATACTCTTAAATTCACTTTAGGATCAAATATGTTTTTTTTTTCTTCAACCTTTGCCGGCCTCCATTAACATGGGATGCAGACGGGTGCCGTCGCCCGTCCAATAATACTTTATACTATACAGAAAATGTACATTCTATGGAGCTCAAGCTAGAAATCGCCGATCGCAGCGGAATATCTTAGTGTTAAACGTGTCAGAATTTGATTTCTCGTCTTCACAGAGGGCAGCTGTTAAAACACTGTAAAAAAAGAAAAAGAAAAGAAGAAATGAGCCAAACGGGGTTCGGTGTTTTTAGATTGGTGTGAAATTGTTCATTTGTGGAAATAGCAGCCCTGTAATAAATAAAACACTCATGACAGTAGAACATCAGAGGGACTGAGGCGAGAGTCGGACTTGATGCGGGAAGGTGAACGGCAGCAGTGTGGCGCTCGGAGAAAAAAAACAACAAAAAAAAACTAAATAAAGACTCTCCCAGTCCCCCCCCCCCAAATAAATGAAGCAGCCAGGCAAAAATGACCCGTCTACCCCCCCATCCCCCCCCAGACTTCGTCTCATTTAAAAAAATAATCACTTTTTTCTACTTCCTGTCCATCTCTATGCTGTGAACCTCCTCCATTCCCTCAAATTCCAGAAGGTTTCCGGTCAGGTTGGGAGTTCTGGTGGTTCTGCTTTGGAATGACCCCCCCACAGCCTGCCTGACCCCCCCCCCCCCCTCCTCCATTCACTTCCTGTAAGCCCCTCTGTCTCATTCGATGATTGCATTAACACTGGAAAAGGCCCACAGTACAGACGCACGCATACATTCCCCAACCGCTTCAGTCTCGCTTGCTAACGCACACACACACACACACTCACACACACACACACAAGCACTGTACTCTGTGGTCAAGCTGGTGGCTAAAGGACAGTTTAATTTCACATATGCTAATTATGTTAAGTTGTACAAGAAGATGCTCTTTATCTCTGCCCTGTGAAAGCAGGGCAGACCCTCTTCAAGCCGAGGTGACGTTGGGTTGCGGTTGCTGACTAGCGTCGATCTGAGTCTGGAGCTGCTGGGGTATGGGATGGATCTGCGGCAAGCTGGAGGCGGACCCAGGGGTGGCGGCAGTCGCAGCAGCAGCAGCGGCGGCGGCGGCGCCCGTCTGAGCCAACAACTGAGACAGCTGCTCGCTGTTGGCCAGAGACTTCAGCACGGCGTTTTCCCGCTCCAGCACAGAGTTCCTCTCAAACAGCTCCTTGATCTGCTCCTTCAGGACCTCCACCTCCTCCCGCACGGCATACATCAGATGGCTTTTCACCAGGTCCTGGAGAACACGGAGAGGAGCCGCCGGGTCAGATTATCATCTACAGAAGCATCTCAGTTCACATCAAAGACTCATTGATTGATTTTAAATGAGGTGACATATGTCACCTCAAATCTCTGTGACACCCCCATGTATTTTTTTATTTCTTATTTTTATTTTGTTTTTCATTGTGTGATACATGTAATCCTTATTTATCTTGATATACTGTATATATAGTCTATTCTTAATGCACCTTCTCCTCCTTGTTTGCACCTTTTTCTTTAATTACTATGCCAATATGTGACCAGTGAATTTCTCCGCTGTGAGATCAATAAAGCTCATCTAATCTAATCTAATCTAATCTAATCTAAAGCTTACAGCTAATAAAACTCCCGTTGGTCTGAAAAAGGTCAGTTTAACAAAAATGAAATACATAAAAAAAAAAAAAGGGTTGTTAATATTGGATAAAGCAGGGTCAGGGGTGTCCAAAGAGCATCCAGGGACTATTTAGATAATCTTAGACTTAAAAAATCTGAATTCATTTATTTTTTTTTTAAACACCACGTTGATATAAATTTAATATAATATAAGTTTGTAGATTTGTAAATTTTTCCACCAATAAAAATACCCTGGAAAGCGTCTCCTCTTCTTTCCTCAAACATGTGTATCTTTTTCATTTCAATAAAATATTCGGTTTAACTTATGGCTTAGAAGGTAAAACAAGTCCCAATAATTTAATTTTGAATATATAAAAAGAAAGAAAGAGAATCATCTATGCCTCACAGAGAGGGGAGGCCTCTAAAGGAAAAGGGAAAGTTGGTTGGAAGGAAAAACTGGAAAACAAGATGCCCAAACACAGAGTTTAGAGGAGGAAACAAGCTAAAGGGTTCTATTAGCACTTTATACGGAAGGTTACTATTTTTGATCACTTGCACAGATCTAGAAGCACAAGATCTATATCCAGCCATGTAGCAAAGATCCTGCTACATGGCTGAACATCTTATTTTGGCATTCAATGATAAATTACCTACTGGAAATTAAGTGTAAAAAAAAAAAAGTGAAGTCATGAAAAAAAGGTAAAAAGCTAATTGAAAAGTTAAAAAGTATATTAAGGTTTATAAAAAAAAAAAAATGTAAGTGCCTGTATCAGCATCAATGTCTAGATGGTTATTTTGGACAAAAAAGAAAAATTTATTTTTTTCACTCACATTTCTTATAGAAGCACTTTTGTTATTTTTCTTAATAAATTCGGGCGAGTTGGCGTTTCTCATTACATTGACTTTCATTGTTGCGATCAAAATATCCATATTTGTTTAATGGTATAAAGGTAATAAAATCCTGGATTCCAATAAAACTTTTGGCTTGATTCTTTTGGATTATTTCACTGATTGCCCTATAAAGGGTTAAAGCAAAGCGGGGTTCCTAAACCCCTCAGCAGAAACAATCTTTGCTTAATTTGGTCTGATGTAAAACTTTAACCTTCTGAAGTTTTATTAGCTGCAAGTTCTTGATCAAAACTAATAAACATAAAGGCTTAAAATATTTTATTTTATATATCAAATAAATCTAAATAAGATTTTACTCCATGCAATAAATTAAATATGATTTAATTGAAATCAATTGAAGTAACTGAGAAGCAAATATCTGTTTTTATTAATAAACAACAACATTCTTCTATCGACCAATTAGCTTATTAGCTGAACCGATGACTCACCATTGCTTGTTCAATTTTATTATCGATGGCAACGATGTTGGCTCCAGAGGCACTGAAAGAAAGAGACGAATCCAGTTAGTTTCCCAGCATGAGTTTTTCCTTTAACTACTCTATATTTACTCTAAAAATGTAATAAAAACGAAATAACAGAAAAAAATAAGAGGAACAGAATTAAGCCACAGTAGAAACAATCAACCGCTTCAATATACTTTAATAAAAATAAAAAAAACTCCAGGTAAAAAGGGAAAAACATTTCAACATGAAAAGCAGGAACAGATCTTCCAGCCGTTACCTTTACCTGCAGATTCTTTAAAGGTTTGAAATGTTTTAAATCTAAAAAAATGTTTATCAGGTTAAGCTTTACTCTGATACACCTAAATAAAATGAAGCAAATGCAGCAGCCTGAAACATAAAGATACATTTTTTTACAATTGTTTTTCTATTTAAGTATAAATCTATTGAGCTAAATTGGGGCCATAAGTTTTATTTAAAAGAAAAAAACTGAACCAGAAAAATTAAGGTAAAAAAAAATAAAAAAAACTCAGTTTCTGGGATATATGGAGTGATGATTATACGTATATACACACGATATACTCCAAGCTGTTGCAAAAAGGAAGCATTGAAACTAGAATTATTTGTAAAATCATCAAAAAAACAAAACAATCCCATACATGTAAAATATTAAGAATTTTTTTTCTTTTAACCAAAATTTATGGCTCTAATTTAGCTCCATATAATCCAGAATAAACAGCGTTTTAGGTTCTGGATGTCTCACACAGAACCATATAACAGAGCGCTGCAATCAAAGCCCAAACTTACATCTGATTGAGAAGTTGTGCAACATCTTAAAAAAACAAACAAAAAAACGATACATCGACAGATATTCTGAGTTTCAGTTTACTTCAGGTAAACGCCTCCAACCCGCTGTGATCACACAGGGAGAAGGTTCTGGTTCCGGTTCAGGATGGCTGAACACCAGGGCTGGGTATTTTTGCCAAAGTCCTGAATAGATTCGATTTTGATTAATAAAGTTCTTACGTTTTTACCGTAATGAAAGTAGTTCAACTGTTTTTCAAAATACAGTTGAACAATATAAAATGTATTTTTTTTCTGTCATATTAAACACAAAGTGCAAACTTGTAAATCAGACAGTTTAAACTTGAGATGTGAACCAAACTGTCTCAAAAGTTCAAACTTATTTGTGAAAAGTGAAAAAATGAAGCCTCACTCACTCAGACATGCATGAGCTGCATTATCTCCACTGTATAAACCATATATGCAGCTTTATCTGTAACAACTACAGGATGTTTGCTGCTCAGCCCCCATTTATTAACGTCTTCAGTCAACCTATCAGCTATATTTGCAGCTGTCTGGCTTGAAGTAATCTTTAGAGCATCTTTCCTGCTCATTTGAATGTGAACGTCATGTACTAATCAATCTCATTCCATAGACATCGATTTTGTAAAAATGTAAAGGAATAGATTTAAAATCGATTTTTTTACCCAGCCCTACTGAACACAAACTCTCCGGATTTGTATTTCTGACAATATCTCAGCAACTGCACATCGTCTCCCTCAGCTGTTGACCACAGGTATCGCTGGTTTTGAATGGAGAAAGTTTTAATAAAACCAAATGCTTTTACAAAATATGAGAAGAAGCACCATAGAGAGCGTTCTGACCAGCTGTGTCACTGTGTGGTGAGGAGGCTGCAGCGCCTCAGACTGGAAGAAGGGGTGTGCAAAATAATCGTCATGATGATGCATCGTGATTCTAATTTTCGTGATCTACTTCATCGATTCTTGACGCCAAGTATCGATTATTAATAAAAACAAATTAATAAACAAAATTGCATGAATGGTTGGCGAACATCAGCCAAAAACAACTGGAATACAACTTTCAGTCCAGTAGATGTCGCTGCAAATGTGTTGACGCACGCTGCCTTGTGTCACAAGCATTTCCGGCCGCGAGATACTGCGCCGAGTCATTCAAAAACAAAACATGGAGGAGAAAATATTGCAATGCATCACAATAATTCAAGTATCGTGATGCATCGTGATAGAATCGCATCGTGGCCTGTGAATCGTGATTCGAATCGAATCATGACTTCTTTGGCAATACCCACCCCTAGTGAGAAGACTGAGAACAGCAGAGAGGATCATGGGGGCATTTCATCCCAGCTTTGCATGTCCAGAGCCCGTTACATCGTCATCAATGACCCCCCAAAAACCCCACCATGGACCGTTCTCCCCGCTGCCCTCTGGGAAGAGGCTTTGCAGCATCTGATGCAGGTCCAGCAGATTCCAGAACAGCTTCTTCCCAACTGCCATTAGACTGCTGAATGTTTTTATATATATATTTAAAAAAAAAGCGCTGAATGTTGGAATCTGTAAATCATATATCAGTCTTAAGTTTACATTTTATCACTGCTGCACTTTAAAAATGGAAATTTCTTGAGAGCTTTTTTTTTTTTTATAAAAAAAAAAAACTGAATATCAATGAACATGGACATTACAAGAAACTAATAAGATCACGACTCCTATTAACTCCAATAAAAAATGTCAGGAAGGGAAAAAAAAAACTAAACTAAAATAAATTATCAAGAATAGGGGACTAAATTCTTCCAATAAATCGGACAATTTATTTGCTTTAAGGTTCTGCGTCTTCTTCAGACATCAGTTGAAGGAGGAAAGTTCGTTTTTGAAAGCAGAGAATGAGAGGGAGCATTTTGCATGACGAAATTTATGGATATAATATTTGGTTATTTGGAATTCCACCTTTTTTCATTAATATATAAACCAAACTGAATTATTTGTAAGGAATTAAAGTCCACATTTATAGATCTAGAAGATAAAAAGATCTGAAGTTGATCCCATAGGTTTTTAACTTCTTTACATCCATAAAACAAATGATTAGTAGTTTCCAATTGAGTTGTACAGAAACCACAAACCCCAATATAGAGTTTAAATCTCTTTAAATTGTAATTCTTTATATTCAGGAGGAATTGGAAATGTCAAATAATTTGTCCTAATTTTGATTAATTTCTTGAGAGCTGTACTGAACGAAATTTCTAAGTCTTAGAAAAAATATATTCTCCACTAGAGGGAGCCAGAGAGCTTCCTGGTACAGACAAAATACAGCATTTAGAGGACAAAAAAAGTTTTTTTTTGTCAACAAAATCAGTATGTGGTGAGAAGGTGAAGCACTCACACACCCACACACACACACACCCCGGGGGACAACATGTTCTGTTCCTCCACAGTCCAACTGGAGGGTGTGAGAGCCTCCCTCAGATGGTAATCATTGTGATGTACTGGGGAGGAATGTTCCCCTTACCTCTGCTGCTGCTGCTGTACCCCCACACACCCCTCTGATACGATCACACCACACATCACTAAAAGACACGTCAGCTATCCTCCATTCCTTCCATCAATTCATAACCCAAAGCCGTGGATGTATAGACCGGAATCTCTGGGTTCCACCCTTGTTGCTTCAGACAGTACAGAAAACAAAAACAGGCTCCAATTGGATCCTGCAGGCCTGCATGTGTTTGGTGCAATCTACAATCCCTCTGACTGACATCTGAAGGGTCGACAGGACTAATCAGGGATTCCTCCGGTTGTGGTCTGACTCCTTCCAAAAAAACACCTCTTCAACAAGAACCGCCAAAACTAAACGTTTAACCTTTAACTATAACCAGCTAACCCAAACGGGGACAGATCTCCCCGTGACCTCACTTCCTCCCTGGAGGTTTCTCCTGCAGCAGGTTCCAGAGGAGGAGCAGGACTCCTGTAATCACATCAGGGGACGAGAAGACAAGGAAAACACTGGTGTGTGTGTGTGCTGTGAGTGGGACACGCGCCAGCCACGGATCTGTAACTATGGTGACGGGGAAAACATCAATAACACAACAACCGTTCCTATGAAGTCACATAAGATTCCCTTTCTTTTTTTATGAGGGAAAAAAAAGTCAAAGCTTTTAGGAACTTTGCTGCTTCACTGCTATGAATATAATTTTTTTTTTTCTTAAAATAAGTTTATTTTCCTTTTATTACTAAAAAATAAGGAATATTTATGTTTCATATAAACAAAAAACATATTTTAAGAGTAAAAATACCTTAATTGGCAGATCTTATTTATCTGCACAATTTAAGACCAAATACACTTAATTCTAGGAAATTCGACTCATTTTAAGATTGATTTCTGCAGTGGGGGAGATTATTTAAAATGGGGAAGGTTTGAGCTGGTGCTCGTGACTTAAGCTACACTGATGTAAGCAAAAAAACCAGCGCAAAGGAAAGGATCAACACCATATTAGGGCACCATCTGTGTAATGAAAGCATGACGTCCAAAACTACTGGCACAGGTGAGGAAGGAGTTCTGCAAACCACAAACCAGCAACGTCTGAGGGAGAATCAGCACGGATCTATCCGTGTTTGCAAAGAGGAGCCTCTGAGGCTGATGGGTCAGGCTGAAATGAAACAGAACGCTAATGAGGGTTTCAGCTTACTCCCATTGCGCAACCAACACTTCTGTAAACTTCTACATCAACAAGGCTGACATTTACAAGCTCCACCGTACGGTTTCCCTTATAAAAGAAGGAATGGCAATAAAAGTCTATTAGAGGCGGCGGAGGTCAAATCGAACAGCCGTCATCTATGACAGATCTGAAGAGCAGCGGGTTTCCCTTCGACGAAAGCTGTTTATGGCCGGCCGCGTTACAGGACAGGTGCAGGGATCAACCGGCTGTTCCTGTCGTAACGGCGTTGCATAATTTCACAGCATGCCGTTTATCTATAATGCAGAATTTGCTCGGATTTACGCAACAGGGTGAGAAAAGCAGCCTATTGGAAACAATGACAAGGTTTTTTTTTTTATAGTTACCCGATTTCTAACAGTTTTGATTTAGGGGGGAATTAGAAAAAAACCTGCCACACTTTCCAGACTTTCTAATGGATTATTACATCAAATCCTCTAAAATGCATTCAGGTCAGGGAGCGTTCACCTTTCTCTTATTTTATCCGACAATTTCCACCAGTCATGTTAAACGAGTCG